TTGGAAGGGCAAAATCAGGCCAGAATTCRGCATAATTATCCTGCCATGTGACTCAGCCCTTAGTTGATGCAACCAAGATTGCAGGCTAAAGTTCCTACATCCACCAGAATGCTGTGAGGTTCTGGATCAGAGTTCAGTGAAATTATCAACATTATATCAGAYGTATTTTCTATTKATACTCATCATGTCCATCATGATATACTGTATATTGTTATTATTTCATTCCCAAGCCTTACTTCCTCACCTTTAAAACCTCTATAAAAACTGATCTCTTTAGCCTTTCTTACAGTATCTTTGTTCTGTCTTTGCCAAACTTAAGGCTCTGCTAATTTATTCTTTTTATAACAGTTCTGCTGTTTAATCTACTAGTTTTAATAATGTTCCCCTGCTTTAGGTGTATTTGTTCATTTTGTAAAATGTCTTTTATATCATAAACAAAGCCCTCACATAAAATGCAATATTAAATAAAGTTTAATTGAATGTATGCATAGTCCCTGTTTACACATTTAATGCCAACTGCAAATGTCCCTACCTTACCTTTAATAGCAACCATCCAGTTTTCAATTGCTGTTCAACAGTACTGCTATTGTTTATGTTGTTGTTTTCATGATTGCTTCCTGTACATCTGAGTTTGGCCTGAAGGATAACATTGATTAGGAAAGGAGCACACTCARTTTGTTTCTATTCCTTTCCTCAGCCGTGCTCTGTTCCAAAAGCTATTCCTGAACTACTGCAGCCAATTAATGTCCAAACAGATGTGCAACGCCGAGAGCTAAGCTTTGCTGCAGGGTCAAGCAGTCTGAATCCAATCTCCTCAATAAAATTACATTTCCGCCATTGTGCCCCCCTACCTGCTGACCCACTCTCAGGTCACACGCAAGCTGACAGCTTTAGCAAAGTGATTGCTGTGGAATAACTCTACATGACCTGAGCGCTATTTGAGTTTCTGGTAGCTCTGTCACTGTTCTGGACTGATGACTGTGTGGATGGAGCTGAAAAAGGTGGAAAAGCCTGCAATGACTCAATAAGAAGTGAGTTAGTTTCATGTGGCTGTTAGTGTATAAATATGTTCACGTCTTTGATGTGCATTTCCATGATTTCCCTCTTCACATTTTTCCTCTGATTACTGTTTACCAAGAATGGTGCGAGAGATGCAAACACAGAAAAAAAAAAAGAAATACCTGAGGCAAAAGTGGGACTTTACACTTGAAAGTAGGAAACATTACTTATGCATTAGGTGTGTCTTTGAACCTAAAACATGAATATTTCCTAACTCCTTCTCCCCCACAATAATACTGAGATAATCAATTATTCATTTGTAAATGTTTATTTCCCTTCAAAAACAAGCATGACATGAGCCTCGATGCTGGGAAAAATGTTCCAGCTGCTGCACTCGCTCACAATATGCTAACTGCAACTTTCCATTTTGGCTCTGAAATTGGCAGGATGAAGCTGGAGAGTTAAAACCAGAAGTGGGGTGAGATGGAGCCAAATGAAGTATGTCTAACTTGAGGGTAGAGGGGTCAAAGAGTGGACCCTGGGCAGTTTGTTCATTGGAGTCAATGGCCATTGTTCTCTGAATCAGCAAGCAAATAAAGATCAATTCACAGGAAAATACAGTGGATCTTAAAGATGGAGACCTTTATGTTAATAGGGTAATGGGAGCAACTTTCACAAAGTCTATCCACAGTATTCCTGATTTCGCGCCACTACCCATAATTCATAGTCGAAGTGCATTCCATATTACCGCTTCTCTGTTGTTTACAATTATGAGGATACACCATCGCTGTTCATCAAAACATTTTTCATCAAAATTTGGCATAGATGGCCACACATCAGAGGTGTATAATACGGTTAGGGTGTTTTAAAAAGCGGCGAGGACAATTCTTTATCAGTGGCTCACTCGTCACTGCTCATGGACTGATGAAGCTATGTCCCGATGTTAGCTAATAGCTACTACTGACATCAGCTAATTTGTCTTTCCCCAAAGACACACACACGCAAAATCATAAAAGTCAACCGTTCTGGAAATAAAATATTCATAAGCCCCTCAGAATTGTAATAATTTTATAAAAGTATTGTGATTAGATGGTTTATCCCCCTTATTCTAAACATGCAATTCACTGGCTGCTAGTTCGTTAGTAACTTTTAGAGATGAACTGAAGGGTTTTGTACAGCTACAGTTATTGTAAATAAATGATAAACAAAAATAAATAAACTGCCTCTAATAACTTTTAAAGCATATTTTTATTTAAACAAACCAGACACTTTTATAGTCCCTGGGCACTGCTAAGCTCGTCTTTTAATCCTGCCATGATGTAAACAACATATTTAGCACATAATTGAGAAGAGGATTGTTTATTATTTTGAGATTACTCAGAACTGAGACAGTTAAATTAAGACACTTATATAATTTTGCCAGCATGTGGCTGCTAATCATAGGCAAAATATTTCTTTAAATTTAAGATTAGCTGCAAATAACATGCTAAAGAACCAGGCAAACAGTAGCTAGCACTGACGCTAATGCCATTCACGTAGGCTTTCATTCAGTAAAAGCAAAGAACTGCACGATAAAATAGTAAAACAGGGACAAACCACATTTACAGTTTGACTCACTCAGCCCAGATAGAGCTCTGGATTGGAGTGAATAGTCATGGCACGGATTTTTTGGTCCATAAAATGAGAAAAGCAAGCAAACTTTCTTTGGTGGATTTTTCAGATTTAAAGGTGCCTGTCATATTAGTTAACAATCCTCCTTCGTCAGCATAAAGTGCAGTTTGTAGGACGCTATGCCTTTACTATTACTTGTTGCAGCCAAAATGTTTCTAAAGCATTTCTCAGTTTTCTTCAATTGTTGTGGCAGCCGACAAATACACAAGTTGAACCCAAACTCGTGATTGAACTGTTCAAGCTGCCAGTTAAAGCAATATCAAACTAAATTTGTTGTTATCATAACTATCTGAAGGAATTAATTTCTTACTCACCGGAAAAAGCAAACAGTGGAGAGAGCTGTGGGCAGGGCTGGTGACTGTCATGGCAGCCTACATAAGCTTCTCAGGAAACTTGTGGATAGCCAAGACCTTTAAGATGGAAGGTGCATTATTTTTATGGCTGGATGTACAACGTAGTGCTGGGTGGTATGAGCCACACTGTATATAACGGTATTTTCAACAATTATCCCAGTATCATGGTATTTGACTGTATTTTTTCTTTTCATCACAGCTCAGCTGATAATAAAATGTACAAATGCTGATTATTGATTAGTAAAACTGAAGTTTCTTTCTGCAACACAGAAACCATTTAATAACTTTTTTTTACTCTACCTCTGTGTCAATATTTTAACTCAACCCCAGTACAAAACTACTTACCCCGAGCTTTTCACGCACATTGGGCAAATCTATGTCATGCATGAAATCTATACGTGGACATCACTGAAGATTCAGCAATGGCAAAAATGGGAGAGGTATTTTTTTATATTAGTCAATAAAGGCAGCGGAATCACCATCTGCGGCCAGTTATTGAGAAGGCTGCTACCAGTGGTGGCTAGTCAATAGAGGTCGCTAGGGCGCCACCCCACCACTATAAACAAAAACAAACTGATTTTGAAAATCACAAAGTGCGTCATTGACGAGGGCTTGGAAGACAGCGGGAGCGTTAGTGAGGCCAAAAGGCATAACTAAGTACTCCAAGTGACCTAGGGGGGATCTAAATGCTGTCTTCCATTTGTCGCCCTCTTTACTGTGGACTAAGTGGTATGCGTTCCGAAGATCTAGTTTGGAGAATATTATGGCCCCTTGTAGCTGTTCATGCACAGAATCAATAAGTAGGAGAGGGTATTTGTTTTTGATGGTGATGAGGTTTAGCTCTCGATAGTCAATGCAAGGTCTGAGTTTTATCTTTCTTAGACACAAAAAAGAACCCTGCTCCTACAGGAGACATGGTGGGGCGAATAATGCCAGAGGCAAGGGAAGACAATATATTTGCGCATAGACTCTCTTTCTGGGCCAGCAAGTTATAAAGTCGGCTAGATGKCAAAGGGGCACCAGGAAGGAGGTCTATGGCACAGTCATAAGGAAGGTGAGGTGGTAAAGAGAGGGCTTTACTTTTACTGAACACCGGGGCCAAATCGTGATAACAAGTGGAAACCCGAGATAAATCGATCTTATCATGAACAAACATGGGAGTAAGAGAAGAGACGGCAGATTTTAAAAAATTTAGAGAGCAGAAATCACTCCAAGAATTAATTCTTTCAATTAATGGAAGGATTATGTTTTCTTAGCCAAGGAAAACCCWAGATTACTTGAGGGTTGGGGGTGAAAAACAAGAAACTCACTATGATTATGATGGTTACCAGAGATGACGATGTGTAATGATGGTACCTTATGAATTACAGTGGAAAATGTTTGTCCAGTGAGCGCCACCATGAATAATGTTTGGACCAGTTCATCAGTAGGAATACCAAGTTGTTCAACAAGGTTGTGGCTGATAAGGTTTTGCTCGGCTTCAGAGTCTTTAAGGACCGAAACAGGAAAATAAGAGTATTGATACACAACGTGGCAGGAAGGGTTAAACGGTTATCAGGAGAGACATTAGCGGCACCCACCAGTATCTCCTGGACCACTGGTGGTTTYGGCCTTTTAAACGGAGGAAACAGGTAGCAACGAAGTGGCCCTTCTTACCACAATAGAGGCATTCTTTTGCTGAGATGCAACGTCTCTCCTCGGGCGTAAGCCWAGTTCTTCCAGTTAGCATAGGTTCAGATTCAGCTGGGATGTTAGCGGTTTGAGGAACGAAAACAGAGCTTACCGGATCCGGAAGTRGGGGAAACAGAACTGCTGGACTCTGGGAATTGTAGTTCTTATGACTCCTTCTCTCACGGAGGCGATTGTCAATCCGAATGGCCAAGCTGATTAAATCCTTCAGGTTTTCAGGTTCGTCTCGGGTAGCAACTCGGTCCTTTATCTGCTCATTTAATGCATTAGAAAAAATACCCCGTAAGGCTAAATCATCCCATCCAGCTCTCTGGCCGCTATCTGGAAGCGGATGGAGAATTCAGCCACAGAATTAAAGGAGTCTCTTTGAGGCTGTTTCCTGGTGGAGCGGAAGTTCCAAAACTTTCTGGAAGTCATTCAGAAAAACAGAAAAGGTACAATTGTTAATCGAGCAGTGATTTTCCATTTTCCAAAGTGAGGAAAATGGTATATTCTATTTGCCTCATTGTTTGGAAAATTAACTGTTTGCTAGAAGCCAGAAAAAGTTTATTTTCAAAATGCTCAAGTAGGAAAACTTTGTTCAATCAAGCTTAACCCTCCCCACCAATTTGTCACTTCATATCCTCTTTTTTCTACGAAAATGATTATAYTTTGCCTATATATCAAGTCATGAATACTTGCTATGCGGGAGAGTTTATCTTTTACTGTCAGATTTGTTGGTGTTAATTTCTGTGTTCATGCAGAGCAGAGGAAAGGCAAATTAACAAAAAATATTTTTAAGAAAATAATGGTATATTTGAACAGCTCATTAAAGTATGTAGAATAACTTTTTATTTGCCTATTTTAAAGAGATATCTACAAACAGAGTTCTTTCTGCCTTTAATGACCTCTGCTTAGATGCTGACCGATGATTATCTCTCCCCGTTTGTCACAGTGAGAGGGATTTTCAGATGGTGTTTCATGTGTTGGTTAGCTCTTTTTGAGTGTTTTGTTCCATAAAACTGTGTAGGAGACATCGGACTACACACATTATTGTGTGCTTTAAACAGAGACAATGATGAAATTATTGTAATTTAATTAAATTTATAAAGTTGACAAACATTACATCAAAATAAGAAAAAAATCCTGGAAATATTAAACGTGTTTGTATTATATGAGATTGCCTTCTCAACTAGGTGAAAACCCTAACCTTCACATATTTTGCACTTTGGATAGAATTTGTTAAAAGAAAAGAAAAAAGAATCATTAAATTAAACTTTAAAATCCACACTTTCAAATTAATAAATGCTTAAGAAAGAAAATTGCCATATTATTTAATTAAAACAGACTGAACTCAAAATATTTTAATTATTAGTTGACAATCCAAACAAAACACTTATCAGCTGACTGAAAATGAACCGCAGCAGCAAACAGTGAAGGTTCTGATGATCTGCAAAGATAAATTAAACGATCTGCAGCTGAAATTAAAGAGGGTCGCCCCGATACCATCTGCCCTTACTTTTATTACCTTAGCTGCTCTTGGCATTGCACCCTCCTGATTACAGAGCTTTTTATTCAGTGATTTTCCTAACTGCAGGGAGGAGGGGAACTTCAATCTGCTGCTGAAGATCATAATTAAGTTTGATTCTGAACATGCTGGGTGGATCTCAGCTCAAGATTAACATCAGTTTGTATTTTTTTTTATAAAAACAGGCTTGACTTCAATGCTTAGTTGGGTTTCTGTCACAGATGTATTCAGTGCCGGCCTAAATAACCTGTTAAGTCAAAATGTCAAAAGAAACTGTCTTCAGTCAAATTGAAGTGTGTCACAATAAATAGTTATTGTTCTGTTCGAATTAAAGGTTTTACACTGGACACTGGATGTCCTTCCTGACACAAATTGGGCTTGAACCAGCAGACTCAGGATTGGTAATAACCTCCTAAATAAAGTGTATTTACTTTATCTCAGTCAGATGTATAAATAGTCACATAAGGATAATGATCYATGTATTGTCATGTTCCCATGCAATGATGAAATTTGGGCTCTGCATTTAACACATGAGAAACACCCAAGTGGAGCAGTGGGCAGCTATGTAAGCTKCCCAGGGAGCTTAGGAACTAGGTGTCTTGCTCAAAGGCACCAAAATATGTGGACTTGGTGGGTGATCGAACCTGTGACTTTCTGGTCCCAAGATTACTGCCCTACCACTTCACCACAGCCGCCCCAAGGACACAAGCTGAGTTTAATATCTAGGCTCCATTCTAGGTCTACACTAAATCTAATTAAAACTACGAATGAGCCAGACTGAACTTAGTATCTGAAAGTCAAGGGCRTGTTTCACATGAGTAGAATTTAGTAATCCAGGACAAGAATAGAAAGCAGGATTAAACAAAGCCTTCTCAGAGTATTCTGTTTTATACAATGCTAAGTAATGCTGAGTACTGTATTTATTCATGTATAATACTAGAAATTTAACCCTAAAAATCATTCATAAAGTGGGGGGATAGCATTATACACAGGTTATTTTTAATTAGATTTTTACGCTTAGTAAGCTCAAAAAATGATGATCGTATTATACTTGAGATCGTATTATACATTAATAAATATGGTAGATATAACTGAAACTCAAGTTAAAGTCATTTTGCTAAGTAGATGTCTACTCTGTAGGGATTTAGTGTTTTTTTACCACCTTTTGCAGCTCCTGAATGACAGGGAGGAGCCTATCTTTCTCAGCTGTGCATCATTCCCCTGATGAGCATCATTTGGCTGTCAGACATTGGAACATTAACTACTTATGGTGATCAGTGGACGGCCCGTAAAGTCTTCTTGCAAAGATAATTATCTAACCTGATTATCTCTTGTGATTCTTGCAGCGTTAAACCCTGGTGCCTCTCCTCAGTCATCTCCTTTCTCTTGTTCCCGAGCCTCTACCCGAGTTAAGCCTGAGTACCTTCTCCTGGAGTCAGCACCTGCACAGTGGTAAATAATACACAAAAAAACAACACTCTCTCTCAGCTTTCTGGTTCAACGTGCCACTCTCCGGCTCTCCCTCTGGAATACTAACCTGGACCAATCTCTCCTCCTCATTCCTTATGCTCCTCTTCATACCTGGTGATGACAAATATGTAAGCAACTTCTCTTGTTTCTTGTCCAGAGAGTTCAGTCTTGGGACAGTATTCATTTCCCCATGTCTCCTTTCTCTGACTGGACACTGTGTTGTGTATGTGTACATTGTAAACTTACCTTTTCCTTAAGATACTCTGCTTCCTGTGAATCTTGGGCTTCAGTCTCTTAACTCTGCAGCAATGGATAAACCAATGTGCCACACTGTTCTCTTTATAAAACCAAAGGGTCCATCATACCTGAAGTTGATGTAACAGAATCATGTCCTTTTAAAAAGAAATCAAGAATGAAGGATTTGGTTAACAAGTCAGTTTCAGCTTCTAAAACAATTAATATGTCATGTGTTGATGTTTTGATGTTTTTTATGCTGACCCACACTAATGGGTCAATTACACAATTAGGGAGGTTTTCTTTATTTGTTGTGTTATTTTAGCACGTATATTCTGAAAATAAACCTGTTTTATTGCTTAGATCCAGAGCAGTTTTTTTGTGTAAATAGCTGCTTTACTTAAATATTTGACTTTTGGTGGCAAACAAGAACATCCATCTTAACCACATTTTGAGAAAGTGAGGTTCTGGACCTTTTTTTTTTTTTGACCCAGCAGTCTGTCCAGATTTTGTATCCCAGCCCCTGAAAAATTTACAACTCATTCAGGAAAAGCCAGAGGACCCTAACCTCTCCTGAAGCACTCTCATGTCTAAAGTGTTTCTTCATCCATCCGTGTCATCTAAAAATTGGCAGACCATTAAAAAGCCATGAAGCCCAGATGTGAGTGAGGGGATTTATTACTGTATATTGAGTTTTTCACTGCTTTGTTGAAAACTGCTTTGCAAATATGTCAATGACTGCAGTGATACACGCAAGCTTTTTTCACATCTGACATCAGTTTGAGCAGCTAAGACAACTCCATTATAGCTGTCGCAATAACCATATGGACTTTAAAGAGGTAGTCTGATCATTTTATAGTCATAGTCTGTCAATTGTTTATCTACTTAATGCCTTATCCACAGTGAAAGCAGTCACAGAGTTTCGAGGATTGGGCAAATGTTTTGTTCCAAYCTAGGCTAATAGCTAGCCAAATGACCCATTTATGATTATTTTTCAGGTTTATAAAACTCATAACAGCAGATCAATGTGAAAAAATGCTACATTAGTTATTAAATGTTTACACTTTAGCGTTATACTGTGTATGTTAAGATTAGCTTTTTGAGCTCTGAATGATAACCGAACACCAACACAGTTTTAACAGGTTTATTGTAAAAATGTGCAACTGAAGGAYRAGGACTGGAGACCGGAATCAGCAGTTCTGGACACAGAGATCTTGAGTTAGGTTGGATCAACAGGAATATATTATTGTAACAAATAATATAAATCACCAACCTTCTCAAGAGGAGCTGAGCTTGTGTGGCGACTACTGCCACAATGTTCTGGTTCCGGGTGGTGTTGCTGCGGGGATTTCTCGTGGTCCAAAACAAAGCTGGGGTCATACACAGGTGGTCAGAGATCGTTACCAGGTTTAATGGGACAGGCTGAGTCGTAGGTCCAGAGGTGTGTTCCGTGGTCGAGGTCCAGGTAATCCGATGTGGCGAGGTACCGTTCAGGGGAGAGG